AACCTACATCAAATCATTCACATGCCAAGTCCGCACAAAATGGTTATAGTTCCCTATCCATCTATTAGTTCCCGGAAGTTCAATCGTAATTTATACATGACGAACGTAACGAACCTTCCCGTAAGCCACCACTGCCCTAAACTATCCTGAGGGTTGCTCGCGTAAACCAAGAGTCATCAACGCCATTACAGCCCTTAACAAGTCTTACAAAAGAGCTTACTCTTTACTAAAAGGCCTGAAATGTACCTGCAATTCCTCTGAGAGTCTGTCGGCGACTTAGCGATGCTCGCGAACGTCGCGTCGTACCCATCCGAGCCGCGCGATACTTTACGTTACCGAAATAATTTCGGTTATGTAAAGGTTATACAAAGTTGTTACAAAACCAGTTAGGTCAGTAAGTATAAAAAATACATTATATTCATTCATGATCAAACAAATAAAATAAAATTTAGAACAACAAATTTTATATTTTTAAATAAGCTATGCGACTGAACAGAAAAATGAGACGATTGTCCGATATTCAATAAAGTATCAGTTATAGAAATGGATGTATTTTGACCTCAAGCTAGGTGTCGCTACAAGTGTTTAAGCGATAATGAATATTAATCGATTTTCGAACTTATACATTCATATACTTCCTGGTGAACTGTGAGTTCGTTTTTTAAAGATAGAATAATAGTGACAAACGAGCACACAATCTACCTGATGGGAAGTGGAATCTGTGGCCCGTAGATATTTAGATCTATCATCTATTTAGATACGTTGCTACCCTTGAGGACTAAGATACAATACCTCGCTTCTAGTAAAAATGGTCTCCTTTTCTCTCACTCACCATATGAAACACTAAAACATTAAGCTGCTAATTTACGCTGTTATTCTGTGAAAGCGTGGTCCTTCCCCGGTCGCGCGATAATATAGCTGCAGCAGCAGCTGCCGGCTCTACCACAGTAGAATAAAAAATAGCTCTAAAAAAACTAGTTGACGGTGGAAATAAGTAAGAGGGTGGTACGTACCCAAACGGAATACAAAGCAGAAAAGGTATCATACCACCTGGTAAGCTTTCTAATGATTTGTAACTTACTTTTATAACGTGCCTAATTTAAATAAAAAACCGATAATATTGATATTTAATAAATAAAACCTGGTTTTTGATGATGCTTGTGCTGTTTTGGCTTTTACAGTTTCAGCGGACTCAGGGCTCGCGGCCTAAAAAAGGGGTGAAGATTTATTATACTGCATCGTTACTTGCATAACGATGAATCCTAGGACAGTTTACAGTACACGTGATTGAGTTATCTAACGACCATCAGAACAGGAGGTAGCGGCACATGTGTAAATAAATGGAACAGAGGTAAAGCTTTATACAACCGCGCGAATCGGTTGCACTACTACAAGCACGCGGGGCATGTGTGCGTAACCACTTTCCGCTTGTCGCGTACGCGGTGGGACTGGAAAAAATCGGTTACGCTGGCATAGCCAGTGGACAACAATCTCAGGGTCAGTGCGTCGCATGTTGTTTCTTTTGTTAGTTGCAAGTTTCAATATTTTAAAGTAAAAACGTCGTGTTATTAATAATGGTTGTTTATTGTACTATGTGTATGAATAATACTAGAAAAAATAAAAATATGTCATACTTTAACTATCCTATATAAGTAAATATTTGATTATTACTTTCTCAAGTAAGTAACTTTATTTTATTGTATGATCACGACACGATGTTATTTTACCTTTTTATTGTTATTAAGATATTCATCGGAATAATGTCGTATAAGACTTGTTCTTAGATCGTTACTCACACTTGCGTATGGCTCCTGATTCAATGACGTGTACAGCTGCCCATAGAACCTGTCAATCTCACTCAAAATCTCAGGTGTCACGGAAACAATGCTACCACATTCGGTCTTCAACTTCAACAGTTGGCTCTTTCTAGCAGACAGATCTCTAGCAAAGACTTTGGAGCTCCGATTCCGCTCGATCGCTCTTCGATACGAGCTGTATTAAAGTTACGTAAGTCCCGCCGCATGCATTTGGAGATTTATCTGTTCAGTTGCCTGTACCCTGTCAAATCAGCTGCAAACTGCAGCTTCATTTCTCGTCTAACAGTCATGAGATTAAGAGTGTAATTGGAGAGTTGTTGTTGTGAGTGTGTTCTTCTTTGGCGGGTCTTGCAGAACTTAACTCCGACCGCATGGCTAGTTTCCACTAGCTTGTCATTCATATCATCCACTGCATTGCAATTTTCTAGGCACTGAAAACAGTTTTGTAGCTCGAGTTGAAAGGTTTCGGGACTTTGTGTTAGGGCGTGAGGGGGAGGTCAGAGCGTTGACTTCGTTAGACGAGACATCTCCAACTTAACGTTTAGGTTAAGTGTGATCTCACCATTCGGTGATCGCTGCCGGAGACCTTACTGAACAGTTGTTGTTTGTTCGTCATAATGAAGTCAATCTCATTTTTTGTCGAATCGTCAGGGCTCGACCAAGTCCAATTCCTTTGGGGTTGCTTCTGGAAGAAAGAGTTCTTCATAAAGATCCCCTTTTTCTCTATGAAGACAGCCACCTGCTGGCCGCTTGGGTTTTTTGTTTTGCATAAGTGGACTATAAGAAAGCTATGTATTCCGTAGAAATTTGTGCGGTGTGGTCCGTTCTAGTTAGTCCATTATTATACATATAGAATTAAAAATAAGTAAATTAATTGACTAGATCGGAATACCGTGTATTTCTTACCATTTATATTTGTTACAACAGTCCCTGAGAATTCGCGAATCACTTATTAACAACTTCGCAGATCAAAGAGACGAAACTGCTCTGTACAATGACCTTTCCTTAGCTTCGCAAGGCCACAAAAGCCCTCAGGAGTTTTACGATCATTATCACTCTTTTTAGTACCATCATGACATATATATCATTGCACGAAACTATCCCGACCACTATCGAGTCTAAGCGGATATTGTATAAAAAGCTCACTATGCAGGTTTTCGTTCGTGGCTTACAAGAGCCCTTAGGATCTAGAATAAGGTGTATGCGCCCTTCTACAATAGAGCAGGCACTGAAATTTGTTCAGGAGGAATTAAATATTTGAAATGATGTACACCCTAAAACTCTCCAGCCGCCTCCAAGAGCACAAATACCAATTCCAATGCCTTCTCAATCTAAGCGAAATTTCCAGCCTCCACCTATGATGTTAGCACCCGCTACTCAGAGACCAATGTGGATGCCACCTTTACCTCAACCATTTAAATTTAATCAACCGCAAAATCAATTTAAGTTCAATGCCGACGTACTTAACAAATGTTTAGTGCACCACCACCGAATTATAACCCACGTAGTAACGTGTTCCGTATTCACCCTCGTTATCAGCAGCCTCAGAATCTTGGCCCTATGCCTATGAGCGGTGTTCAAAATTTCACGCCTAAAGCCTTACCTCATACAGGATGATTAACTGGTCATGATTGGAATAAGCATGGTAACCCACCACCTACGAATTATTTTAAAAGCCGTGAAATGAATTTTAATGAGTATGACGGTTATGATAACTATTACTATGAGCCTGACTTCAACAACTATTACGCGGATTACTACGAATGTCCATCTTACGCGAGTGGCTATAATGATTATGTAAACCACGAGAGTTACGGTCCCGAGTTTGTTCCGGTAAACGATTATCCAAGCGTTAATGATACAGAAAACGATTCTCAGCCCTCCACTAGCTAACAGGAAAATTTTCACGAGGATTCCCCTTCAAACAAGCCAAGATAGAAGTCAATTTGCAGACCCAGCGTCAGCTACCATTTATTCAGATCTTAGACCCTCCGTTGAAACTTCTCATCGATACCGGAGCGAATCAATCATTTTTGAGCCCGGATGCTGTAGAAAAATTTTTCCCTCATTATCAACTTAACTATGATCCTTTCGAAGTTACTAATGTTCACGCTGTTAGTCGAAATGATTATTCCATTACGGTGCCCTGTTTTCCGGAAATTAATGATAGCGAACCGATAAAGTTTTTCGTTTATAAATTTCATAACTATTTCGACGGCTTAATTGGGCTCGATCTGTTAACTAAGTGGGAGGGATTTAAATGCATTACATTTAACTACTCGGTCTGCAATGAACCCAATATTGTTATATAATTCGCGAAACGTTAACCTGTACGAGGATATAATACCTGCGAATACTTCAAAGTTAGTTAGAATTCCTGTTGACAGTAGTGATGGTGAAGTCTATATTCCTGAACAAATTTTATGTAACTGTGTCATTCACGAATGCATAACCAGCGTTTCCCAAAATAGAGGTATTTTAGAGATCGAGAATACTAGCGATAACGATATCGTTTTTTCCCTGGACCGCCCCGCTCACGCACAGTTGTTTAACGTTGAGTGCACGCGCATCCAGCCTATAACCGAACGCGCTAAAGACGTTTTATCGCGACTCCGCACTGACCACCTTAACGAGGAAAAAAAGACTAATTTGATGACTCTTTGTGCCAAGTATCATGACATAATATTTTATATCGAAAGTGAAAACTTAACATTTACGAATCAAATAAAACACCGCATCCGTACGACCAATGAAATTCCGATATACACAAAGAGCTATCGATATCCTTTTGTACATCGATAAGAGGTACGCGATCAAATAAATAAAATGTTAGGTCAAGGCATTATACGTCCCTTCAAATCCGCGTGGTCTTCACCGATTTGGATTATCCCAAAAAAGGCGGACGCCTCGGGGAAAAAGAAATAGCGTCTAGTGGTAGATTTTCGTAACATTAATGAAAAGACCATAAATGACAAATACCCTATCCCGAATATCTCAGATGTTCTGGACAAACTGGGTAAATGCCAATATTTTACTACCCTAGATCTCGCCAGTGGTTTTCACCAAGTAGAGATGGATCCCGCTGACATTCCAAAGACTGCATTCAATGTCGAACACGGCCACTTCGATTTCTTTCGGATGCCCATGGGCCTGAAGAACTCGCCTTCCACATTCCAATGAGTGATGGATAACATCCTCCGAGGTCTCCAGAACCAGATCTGTTTGGTGTACCTGGACGATATAATAGTATTCAGCACCTCGCTGCAGGAACACATGGTCAACTTAGAACAAGTTTTCCAGAGACTTAGGAACTCTAATTTCAAAGTGTTAATGGACAAATCAGAGTTCCTTAAGTTAGAAACGGCTTATTTAGGACATATCATCAGCAGCGAGGGCGTGAATCCTAACCCAGACAAAAAAGCAGCGATAGAAAAATATCCTATACCTAAATCTCCTAAGGAGATAAAGCAGTTCTTAGGACTATTAGGATATTACCGTAAATTCATCCCAGATTTTGCAAAAATAACAAAACCATTGAAACAATGTCTAAAAAAAGGTAAAAAGATCACTTATGACTCCGATTATGTTAACAGATTTGAGAAGTGTAAAACTCTTTTGACGAATGATCCAATCCTTAAATACCCGGACTTTAGTAAGGAATTTATCCTTATTACCGATGCGTGGAACTTTGCCATCGGTGCTGTTTTGTCTCAAGGGCCAATAGGCTCGGATAAACCCGTCTCATATGCTTCGCGAACACTTAATGATAGTGAACAAAATTACTGCACCATCGAGAAAGAGCTCCTGGCAATAGTATGATTTTAGACCCTACCTATTCGGCAGGACATTTAAAATACTTACCGACCACAAACCTTTACAGTGGATCATGAGTATAAAGGAACCAAACTCTCGCCTTACTCGATGGCACTTAAAGCTTAGCGAATACGACTTCACGGTAGTCCACAAGAAAGGTAAATCAAATAGGAACGCAGATGCCCTCAGTCGCATTCAGATCCATAACGAAGATACTAATTCTCTTCTAGTGAATCCCTCGGAACAACCAGAACGCAGTCATGGTTCTACAACCGCTACCATTAATACAAGTCACGAAAATCCTATATTGGAAGTTCCAATAACCGATGAATCACTAAACAAATTTCATCGCCAATTGGTCATCACTATCGTAGGCGACGTAAAAAAATGACCCGCGGTTTCGAAGCCCTTCGATACACACACCCGCATTTCGGTGCAAGTAACGGAATCAAATTTAGAGACCGATATTATAAACGTAATAAAGGAGTTCGTGAACCCAAAAATTAAAACCGGAATTCTAATCAACCCCCCGTTAGGACTTTATTCAATCATACCTATCATGCAGAATAATTTTAAAAGCTCCGCGATGAATCTCTTTCTTGCCAAAATCGAACTTGAAAACGTTAAACCTTATCTTAGGCAACATGAAATTATTAAACACTATCACGAGGGCAAAACCAACCATAGAGGTATTAATGAGTGTTATTTGTCTCTTTCTAAAAAATACTACTGGCCAAAAATGAAAGAACAAATAACAAAATTCATTAATGAATGTATTGTGTGTGGTAAGGTAAATACGACCGTAATCCTATCCAACCAAAATTTAACTTTGTTCCGCCTCCAAGCAAGCCTCTAGAAATAGTTAATATGGACTTGTTCACAGTAAAAAGCGAAAAATACGTTACGTTCGTCGACGTTTACCGTACTTGGATACGGACAAACTTATCATCTACACGACGGTACAGCCATCAGCGTTTTACGGGCCTTACTAAAATATTGCACGCATCATGGTTTACCCTTAACGATAGTAACTGATAACGGTACTGAATTCACTAACCAACTATTTTCTGAATTTTTAAGAATGCACAATATTAACCACCATAAAATACTTCCCCATTCACCAAACGACAATGGAAATGTAGAACGTTTCCATTCAACTCTTCTCGAACATCTTAGATTACTAAAACTTCAGCGTAAAGACGAGCCAGCTATAAACCTAGTACCATATGCGATTATCGCTTACAATAGTTCGGTGCACAGTTTCACGAAATGCAGGCCCTTCGATATAATAACAGGTCACTTTGACCCCAGAGACCCAGTAGGTGTAGACACTATTTTTACCCAGCATTTACTACAACACCCAAAACCATAGAGAACAAATGAAATTAGTTTATGAAATTATAAATCAGTCTACCTTACATGATCGCACAGTTTTAATTGAGAATAGAAATAAGGATAGAGAACCAGAAATTCAGTATGAACCACAACAGCAAATTTTCATAAAAAACCCGCTTGCTAGCCGACAAAAATTAGCACCCAGATACACTAACGATATCGTTCTGGCTAACCTACCTATACATATTTATACTTCACGAAAACGTGGTCCCGCTGCCAAAGCTTGCATTAAGCGAGTCCCTAATAGCGCTAAGTTGTTACAGAATTCCGTTGGTGATGATGGTGCATCTTGCTCAAACACAGGAGATAAGACTTGAAAGTCTCAACGATGGTCCTGGCCTCCTTCCTTATAAATTAGGTAGAACTCGTCTAGTGTCACATTACCATAGCTTTTTACAGTATACTCGCATCAATAATATAGAAGACAAAACTGTTGCAGTGAGACAGCAGTTATCTGACGTTGAATTAAGATTAAATAATGATACGTTTTTCCTATATTCTCTTCAAATTAACTATTTATCTCATAAAATCAATATAGTTTTAAATCATTTAAAAGGACTCGAGCCTAGTCGAACGAAGAGAGGTTTAATTGATGGCTTAGGATCTGCTATTAAAAGCTTAACAGGAAATTTAGATTATCAGGAAGCTATTAAATTTAATATTGCAATAAAAATATCGAAAATAACCAAGTTAAAATTATATCGGAATTCAACTCGCACATAAGCCTCAACAAGGAATGGATGACGCAATATAACGGCGTCATAGACTAGTTAGTTAGAAATCAGCAATCAATCAATGCTACGTTAAAACTTTTGTTGAATAGCACTGCTTATAAAGAAGATAGTTTAATAAAACATGATTTTCATTTTTTAATATCATAACAGAAAACGTCGATGATTTGTTAGGAGAATTAGTTAGAATAGAAAACATGCTAGCTCTTGTGTGTGCCTTAAGCACGCATCATTCAATGATAGATATCGATACTTTAAGGTTAATGATAGAAAGGGTAAGAATGATATACGGGGATGATAGAATATTAAATTTAGATTTATTGACTATTATAGCGACTATTATAGTATCATAAAACCAGGCTCATATTACGTCGAAAAGCAGATAGTTATAGTTTTTAAAGTTCCCATAGTTAGTGCGAACATATTCGATCTGTATAAACTTTCGATAGCCCCGAATAGGTATAACAAGATCCTTAATCCACCCCTTCCTTTCCTAGCAACCAATAGGGAAGCGTATGCGTATATGGAGGCTGAATACCCGAAGGTAGTCCAGCAGTACCTCTGCGAAGACGATACCATAAACAGCGTCAAGAATCATCACGACTGCACACGAGAGCTCGTCACAAACCACGCCCTAGGAGATGACTGCAATCTGACCACTATAATACTGGAAAAGGAAGCCATGGAGCAACTGGACGCCAGGAACTATGTTGTCACATTCCCTCGCACTAGAAGAATCCATCTATCATGCGGAAGAGAAAAATACAAGCAGCTTCAAGGAAGCTATTTGGTAACCATACCCTTAAATTGCACATTGATGACGTCAGAATTTACAATAGTCAACGAGAACAACCAAGTATCCGGACAGCCACTAATAATTACCGATGTCCCACGTAACTTCAAAGAGGAAACCACATCTCAACACAGAATCTCGTTGCAATCCATCGACCTGAGAAAACTACATGAAGCCTACAATCAAATCATGAGAGAGCCGATAATGGTACAAGACACCATAGCTAATAATACTCTGTACCACACAACTATTTCCATTTATGTAATTATAATTGGCTCGCTTATCACAACACCCATTGTAATAATCTGTCGACGTTTCAATCTGTGGAGACGCAGTAAGCCGCAACAGCAGAGCAGCCAGCCGCCAACACCTGGAAAGCATTCCTATGAAGATCCTAAAACGCAAAAGCATATCCAGCCACATTTTCCCTCAAAGTCGGAAAATAGTCGCTGAACTGTGGGAGGAGGAATTACGTAGTTCTATTACACGAAAATCGCCAAGTATGTAAAACCTACTTAAAGACGAACACGACGGAACCGCGTGTCACCAGACGCCGAGTCAGCAGGCGACGACAACCCGACGCCCGTGGAAGTGAGCATCGGATTTCGTCATTCTTCGATCACACTTCGACCAAGCTAATCATTTTAATTTAGTTATAGAATTAATGTAATCTTTCTTTTATTAAATTTATATTTTAAGAATTGGTTTTTTTTTAAGTCCTGCGGCTGCAGCTAACGTAAGTAGCGTGACAATATGATAAACATTTGGTATGGTAATGCTGTCTCTGTATAATGGATGTTGAGTACAATTACATTATTTCAAGGCTGGTCAAAAGGCAATCGACTCTAATTAAGGCAAATGTGACGTGAATTCATAAAACAAATTGTATTAATACGAGTAGCAACTTAAGTGGTTGTCGTTAGTTACGCCATTAATGTAGTTAGTATCTAATTCCGCGTCCCCTTGACCTTGTGAACTGCACCAGCCTTGTTCTTAACTGAAATAAACTGCCAACAGCATATATATATATATATACAGGGTATTTTTGGAACGCTCCCGAAAACTAAGACAGGCGACAGCACCAAGTATACCTTTGATCATGGGTCACAAATAAATTTGATCCTGATGAAAAAAAAATCATATTTTTACAACGTTTTATTAGCTTTATTCACGCGCCATCATGTTAGTACAGCTAAATGAATCGATAATTTCATAAAAAAAATCATGAAAATACTGAAACATAAAACCAGCAGTGGAAACTGAATTGATATCACCTGACTAATGGAGGTTAATGTACGCGCGAACGGTGAAAAAAGAACGCTGGCCTTGAACTTGGGCACTGAGCGATTTATCACATATAGGTACGAAGGGGCGCGACGGGGGAACAATCCGCCAGTATTACTGTGCCTGCATGCTATTGGTTCCCGCGCTTTCTTCGCTCCAAAAATACAATCGCATACACAGCTTACTTTGCGACTCGCGACGATGTTTTAAAAAGGAAGGAAACAAAAATTATTTATATCTATTGTTTTATGACTAAACTAGTGAACGAAAAGGTAAATATGATAGGAGAAGGTGAATGGGGAAAATTGTGCAGTAAAGTGTTGAGGGAGAATATCGAAAAAATTACCATGTGATCGACCTGATGACGGAAGCTCAAGCGAAGATGAAAGTGATGATGAAGTAGCATCCAGTAACACCAACACACCATCAACATCTGACTTTCATGTGACCCAAGACGTCATAATGGACGGCGTGTTACCCTTAGCTTAAGTTTTTTTTGTTACAAACTACTTTATATTTTACGATAGAAATAACAAATAATGCTCAAGTAAACATTATCCATTTTTAATTCCCACCTCTTCCAAAGTTCTAATTAAACAATTAATTACTATAATATTATAAAACAATAGCCCAATACCATGTAGTACTTTAGAACGCGACTGTACCCACACTCTCTCCGCTGTCGACCTGTATCTAGCTCGGCGCGAAACAATGCTACGGTCGTAAGAAAAAAGGGCGCATCTAACAATTTTTGAATAAATGAGTTAAATATACCATGACTCATGATAAGAAGGCGCATCTAC